GCTGTCTCTCAAGATGGAGGTGGAGGCGGCAGGCAGTGGAGGCAGCAGGCGGTAGGGACAGTGAGAAGAGGTAGTGGGGCAGGCTGTGTGGATGGTGGAGAAAATAACCAGGATGTTTGAGAAATCACTTTAAAATATATTCACGAAGGCTTTCACGGCCGGGATCTAATGGTTGTTCTGGGTTTTTCGGGCTCTTTGGCCGTGTTCTGAAGGTTGTTCTTCCTGACGTTTCGCCAGTCTCTGTGGCCGGCATCTTCAGAGGACTGGAGTAGGAACTCTGTCCATGCTCTGTTGCTCTTTGTTGGATAGTTGAGTATTCATAGCTGTGGGAACAGCTTTTGTCTTTTTTTAGGAGATGAGGTGATCAGCATTTTTTTGTTGTGATAAAGGGGGGGGGAGAGATTATCTGTCACTGTGATTGATAGGTGTCGTTAGCTGGTCTTTTTTGTGCAATGATCGCCAGCCCCCCTGGCCCTTGTGGCTGTTCCCACAGCTATGAATACTCAACTATCCAACAAAGAGCAACAGAGCATGGACAGAGTTCCTACTCCAGTCCTCTGAAGATGCCGGCCACAGAGACTGGCGAAACGTCAGGAAGAACAACCTTCAGAACACGGCCAAAGAGCCCGAAAAACCCAGAACAACCATTAGATCCCGGCCGTGAAAGCCTTCGTGAATATATTTTAAAGTGATTTCTCAAACATCCTGGTTATTTTCTCCACCATCCACACAGCCTGCCCCACTACCTCTTCTCACTGTCCCTACCGCCTGCTGCCTCCACTGCCTGCCGCCTCCACCTCCATCTTGAGAGACAGCGGCCTGGTTCATCTCTAATCTGGAGAATCTTAGCTCCGGTTAATCAGTTTCTCCTTCTTCGTGCACCCTATGCAGAGATCCACTAATGGTACCAGTGAAGATTTCTAAAAGCATTGTTGCAAGATGGGAGGTCATTCTGGGGAAGGAAAGCACAAGTAGATGGACACCCTGTGTTTTCCCCTAATCTAAGGAATCATTTCTACACTTAATACCACAGCCTGAATCTCATTGTGAGCTTTCTTGCATGGGGACAAGTACAGTAGGCAGTCGAAGTTGTTGTTTCCCTTCAATCCATCTTCTGAAACCTCCCTTCGAGAGTTGTTGAACATTCAGATTTGAAAAGTCACAATTTGTTTTGGGGCCTGATGACTTTTGGTGATCGTTATGTCCTACCTATTTTAAATCCCACCCTTGATTTTGTTGAAGGTTGTGTGGAACCTTGGTCTCCTCCACAAACTGTGTAGACCTTCCTCAAAGGATGTCCTCCAAAGTTGTCCTTGAAATTTCAGACGTTTCTGCTCAGAAAGCATCTCCTCATTCTCTCTTTTATCTCCTTTTACACAGAATGATATTATGAGCTCCAGTTTGAATTGGTTTATTCATTTCCAACCACCTTTCATGGCTTCGGGATTATCCTTGGCATAATTTCAGATTCTAAATTGCCGCATGGGAACAAACATGTAAGGAATACTATCCTATATTTTGTCTTACTCTTTGCAGCAGTAAGTATCGAGCAGACAACGGCCAACCTTCTTGAA